TTAAGAAATAAATTAAAGGGGATTTCCGTTTTCCAAAGGCAACTCCCCTTTTAAAAGATAGCTTCATTAAGGTACAATTTACATACAACGAACTGCGTATGTTTAAAGAGTACAGGCACCTAAACACTTCCGAACTCCTCCAGTTCCGGCACACAGTACACACTCAGCGGGTCACTTCTGACATTTCAGAACTGTAAACTATGTATGCTGAAAAATATGTAAATTCTTCTAAATTCTTCTTCTCTTTCTTCTGTGAATTTTGGAGACACCTGGTATTTAGAAGTGTGCGAATGGCAAAGGATAATCTTAAAATAAGAGGGAAATTCATTACCAACATCAACAAAAAAATGCTATGACCACTGAAGCCAAAATTATAACCTGCTGTCTACAAAATAAACAATTGCTTAGAGCGCACAAGCAAGTAACGGAGAAAGGGAGGCCCTGGCGCTCCATGAGGGCGCACAGCTCTCTGCAGATCCACACGGACAACCGTATTTGGCCTCAGTATTTTTGAAAGGTGCAGGTAAATCGTTTACTCCCAGTTTAACTAGTTCTGCTTGGATGGAGTGGCCACACACCTTTAACCAAAGCACTCAGGAAGCAGAGGCAAGTATTTGAATTCCAAGCCTGTCTGGGCTAAGTACAGACGACCTGTCTCAAAACAAACAAAGTAGCTCTTCCTTTACCAAGAGCACATTGAGCAGCAGCAAAAAACGCAGTAGGGAAGAAGGCAGGTGCCAGAGTCTTAGCAGACAAGCATTCCCACACCAGCACACACAGAACAATCAGAAGCCCCTAAGACTACGACACACTGTAGTGACTGAGTATAATCAAGGCAGTAGCAGCAATTCGTGACGAGCGATTATACACCAGCCTGTCCACAGCCTGTGTCCACAGCCCCTGAACTGGAGGGTGGAAGATGGAGGGCCTGACGGCCCATAAGGAAGGATGGTTAACTGAAAGGACAGGGGGTGTGATCTAACACCAAATAACCCACCTTCAAACACAGACAGACACTACAGAGCTTTGCTACATCACCTTCTCAACGGCAGGCACAAACTGCTTGGGCACGTTGGCCCCGAAGGTCTCGTCGGAAAACTCCAGCTTAGTGTATTCCTCTGGGGCCAGGGGCTCCAGCACACCGATCACCTTCCCAAACTGGCCAGCACCGCCGGACTGCTTTTTGTGTGTGAAATCAAACCTGCAGGTGATGCAGGGAATAAAACAGAGTGTTAGTGATCAGTAAGATGAAATAAATGCCACAAATTTACACAAAAATCCACATTTCATATCTTTTTTTTAAACTTTTTTCTTTGACTATGATGGCCGTACTAAGAAATTTATTATAGAAGTGATTTAGAAGAAATTCTTCATTTCTGTTCTTACTCAGGGGTGGACGAGGGGCATATCACCTAAGCACTCAGGTATTAGCAATCCACGGCTTCTAATACCCTACATCTGGCTCTGGACTGCTGCCCTTCCGTGTCACACAATGTAGTAAACAAGTACGGTTACCTGAAAATAAGAACTTGGATGACCACAGTTCATTTATTTAGGCAGTTTCTGCTGGATTTTACTACTTGGTATTACATACAGAGGTGATTTAAAGGTATGTAATAATTAAGACCTGAAAATGATTAATACAAATGACGATGAGGAGCATAACAACAGCTTCCAAATGAACTTAGTCCGTGTTTCCATCAGGCCAATGGATGGAATGAGTATTTTACATGAATCTCAAGCATGGAGACACAGCGCAAAGGCGGCTGTTTCTTAGGAGACGCACTTCACAGGAGGCTACTTCTTAGGGAAAACATCTCGCGTCTAGAACTGTCTGCCAGGCACTTCTTTCTTTAGCTGCTTCTCTTCAACCTGAGACTTTCCGGGGACAATCACTTTCAAAAGTAGGGACGCCATCTACAGGTGGACCAACAGAGTAGTGGACGAGCCTGTAAGCAGCTCGGAAGAAGCAAATGTGAATAATGGCAGGAGAGGTGTGTCTGGACGGGCAGACTTCCTGGAGAGCCTAAGTGTGCGTGTGTCTGACTAACTGCCTTCTAACAACTTCCAGTGGCCAAGAGCTTCAGGATGGGCTGGGAAACCCCAGAGAGTGAGAACTTAATTTCCCTGAGAGAGAAAAACATCTCTAAGCAGCAAGAGAAGGGAAGCAGAGGGCGAAACCCTCACAAAGTCACCAGAGAAATCCAGTGGAAGGTTTCCAGGTGCGGAAACAGAGGTCCTGCCAGGTAAGTACTCAAAGTTCTCCGAGGACGGGGCATTTTGTTCTCAGTCTAACAACAACAGCTCCCTACAGCGGGGAAGAGAGCTTGCTTCAAGTCTGATGCCCTGAGTTCAAGCCCTGGGACCGCACGGTGGAAGCAGAGACCCAGGTCCCACAAGGTGTCCTCTCTGTCCACATTCTGGCCACAGCACACACGTACCCCTACACCCATACCAAACAAAATAAAGTATGCAGACTTTTAATGAGGAAATAGTCTGTATCTGTGCTATAGAAATTAACTATGGTGAAATCTAATCACAGCTATTTAAACCAACTTGAAAATTCATCAACTTAACAACTCAAGTACACAAGCCCTTGAGGCAGTGACCATAAGACCACACAGGACAGACACAGGGCACTCCAGACTGCTGAGTCCTTCGGGCACCAACGTCCAAAGAATCAGCTCATATCCACGTAATTCTATACTTTTAGGGACAATGTAACTTAGGAATGAGAGGAAGCCAAGAGACAGAATGTAAGGGCCAGGTTTGTGTCAATCCTTGGTGTGCACTAAACCCAGAAAGCATTACAGTTTCCGGCCATCATTTTAGAGGTTCAGGACCTGAGGGTCAGAGAGGTCAGAGAGGCTAAGTAACTGGATAAACCTAGCTGCTCCCTGCCACCAAAACCAGGACTGGCAACGTTTTCCTAGAATGCTAATAAGAAAATAGAAACTAACTAGACCCTGACTGATGGGTCACCAGTCAGACTGCATAAAAACAGATTTTACAGTAATCAGTTAAAAGGACACCGGCTGGCTACCATGCTGAACACCAAAGAATCGCTAGCCTAGAGTCACACTGCTGGCAGCCCGGGAGAGGCAGCCTTACCAAACTACCATGTCATATCAAACATAATGTTAATGAGAATAGTGTGTATGTGTGTGTGTGTGTTTCCTTGTTTATCTAATTCATATATTCAATTTTACTTAATTTTTTTATTTTTTATTTATTGAGGGTCTCAATATGTTGCCTCGGGCAGTCTGGAACTCTTAAGAGATTCCCTGCCTCTACCTTCCAAGTGCTTGGATTAAAAGCACGAGCCACTAAGCCTGTCCATTTTGAATTTATATTCATACCCAAGTTACAAGCCACAGTAATTTTTGCCTTGTTTAATGCTTACATTGTAATATAAAATCAACAGCGTAAATTACCTGGCCCTGGAGACTCATGATAACTGTCGTTCTCTTGAAGACAGTCTGCACATTATTCAAGTCTGAGTAGGATGGACTGAACATTGACCACTGGTGGAATTACAGTAGGTAACTGAGACTTCAGAGACCCTACTGGGGCTGGAGAGAAGGGCCAGCAATTGAGAGCACTTGCTGCTCTTGCAGAGGATCTGGGTTCGAATCTCAGCAACACCATGGCAGCCCACAACCATCCCTAATTCCAGTTCCAGGGGATCTGGAAGCTTTTCCTGACCTCCTTGGGCACCAGGCACACACCCGGTACACATACACAGTGTGTAGGCAAAACACTAAGAAGCCTTTCGGAAAAAGGCACGGGTATGGGAATGATATTCTCGCAGTTCAGCTTGTTCAACATCTAAACAAAAGCAAATTTCCCCTTTAAGGTAATAATTATAATTTTAAGAGAACCTAAGTTGATATGAATATTTTAAGTACCTTCATGACATAATCTATGTCAGTTATTAGCAGCACAGTCTGACTCCCCAAAAGCTGACTTTGGAAGCCCACACTGTAGCCCTGACTACTCTGAGTAGAAGTCCACAGTAATTACAGGAGACGCAGCTGGAAGCTTATGAAACTTGATACTGCAGGCTCTGCAGAGTGCCTTCTGACTCACTAACTACACAGCCACTCTTTCCTGGACACTAGCCAAGGAGCACTTACCTCAACACACGCATGCACACACACACACGACCCCTAAAGGGCTAGTTCATACATGAATGACTTATTCAAAGGAAAATTCAATTTCAAGAGAAAACACATCTTATTATCCTCTAGTTACTTCATATTGGAAGTAACAGGATGGGGCGAGAAATGCTATATTGCTTATTATTTCTTAAAAACCCACCTAGTCCAAAAAAGTGCTCACTTACAGGAAACTTCAGTAGCACGCACAGCACAACCCCCTTCTTAGAGCGTCACAGCATACATAGCAGTCTACCCCAAAATCCTCCAATAATCTACCTTTTAAGAAAAAGGGATGGGGCTGGAGAAATGGTTTACTAGTCAAGCACACACAGTTTGGTTCCCAGCATCCACGACTGTAAAGAACTCCATCTCGGGGCGGGGGGGGGGGGGGGGTCTGGTGTGTCTGCACACACGTGTGCACAGACATATATATGCATATAGTAAAATAAATAAATAAAAATTTAAAACAGAGAGCCAGGAGTGGTGGTTCACACCCACTAAGGCTCATATTTCTAAGATCAGGTCTGCGGGTACATTGTAAATTTTCTTCTGATCCCAATTAGTCCCCCGAGTTTACAGCATGTTTTTATCTGCCTCTCCACTCTGGATCATACTCCAAAGGAAGGAAGCTGAGGTGAGCTGAGGTCTGAGATCGGGAAAATCGGGGCGGATCACACCTGGAGCACTTTGCACCTTGCCCTGTGAGGCCCATGAGAAGGAAAGTGTGTTCCAATCCGTGCATGAAACAGCTAGAGACAGCTGAGAACTCTAGAGGACCTACTGAGGCAAGGCGGGAAGACCCCTCCCTTGCCTCCCGAGTTCTCCCGCACCTGCCCACCTGCCCAGCCTGGAGCCTGCGGGAGCCGGAGGGGATGCCCGGGCTTTTCTCCAGGAGGCTCCCGCCTACCCCGGGGCGGGGCCCGGGCTCCTAGCGGCAGAGCCACAGCCCAAACAGTTTCCTGCGCGAAGGAGGAAGAGGGAAGGAAGGCGCTGAGGATCACACACACCCAGCCCAGCTGCCGGCTTCTCCACCACCCGGTAGACTACGCGGGCCTACGCGGACCGCTGCACTCAGCATCCGCTGCGAACCCCTTAAATCAGGGCAGCCCGCACTCGCTGGTCCCCAAAGATGGAGATCCCAGCCACCCACTATGCCGCCTCCAGGGCCGCCTCGGTGGCGGAGAACTGCATCAACTACCAGCAGGGGACCCCGCACAAGGTGTTCCAGGTGCAGACCGTCCAGCAGGCCAGCAAGGAGGTGAGTCCCGGGCCCCAACTGGGATCGGTTTGCTCCCCCGCTCCACAGCCGCGGTTCCGCCTCCCAAACTCGCATTCCTACAGGGTCCCTCGGACAAAGCCCCAAACCGTTTGCTTCCACCATCAAGCAGAAAACCCCTGCAGCCAACCCAGGCAGACAGATTTTGTACGCACAAAATCTCCCTTTCCCGCGGTGAGACGAGGTCTAGAGAGGAGGTGTTCTAAACAGTCTGGAGGCTGTCTACTGTTTCTCAATCTGCTGGCTGTCTTGGCCAACAGAAGCTCATGGCCTCCAGACAACTCCCTAAACTTTCAAGGCAACTCTTCAGCCCTTTACCCAAAAGGAGACCGTGAGAAACAAGCCCCTTGTAAGAGGACAAAAGCAGTGTGGGCTGCTGCCAGGCTCTGGCCACCCACATCCTGCCTTAGATGATGCGCTGCCCTGGCTGAAGCTGGGTTAAGGTTCGCCCCCCCCCAATCGGACACAATTTTAACTGCTCACAGGTTATTTGGGCTGACAAGGCAAAGGGTTTTATTTTTGAAATGGTACTAGATAATTAGGTGTAAACTTCAAGTTTATCTTTTTATTTAAAAGTGAAATATCTAATGTATCTATTCATAGATTTGTTGAAGTAGCATTTGGCTGACCAAGCACAAACAGCACGTACACACACTGGCTCTATCACCTGACAGTGATCTGCCTCTAACCAATTTTGTCACTGGACGGATGCTCTGGTACCCTGGGCTTTAGGATAAGCCTTTCCTGAGGTGTATCCTATCGTCTTTGTATCTGTGTACTTGCTGTCTATGCGTCTATCCATCTTCTACACTAATCTAAACTAAATCTGCTGGAAACTGCTAAACTGGATGCTAAACACTTGGCGACAGGGGCCTTTCTCAGGAAGTAAGGCTTGGGGGAGCAGGTAGGAGGCACAGCAGTATAAACACTGTCAGCACAAACCCATGTGTTGTGCTTGAATGTCCTTCCTCACACCAGCCGCCCTCTTGGCCAGGTGATAATGAGAAGGCCCCAACTGAAAGGATCTGACTTATTATTCATGTCTTCTCTCCACTGCATTTTCCTTAATTTCAGGATATTCCAGGAAGAGGGCACAAGTATCACCTTAAATTTTCCGTGGAAGAAATTATCCAAAAAGTAAGTTAAATGCCCTGTCTAGTAACTACATTTTGATTCGGAATATTCTAGATCATTTTGGCTGCAGGGTTTGATCTTGAGCTTTTACTATTGCCGCTGTGAAATTTCTACATAAAACGGCAGCATCTCTGCAGGCAAAGCCATGTGGGGCAGCGTGTACTGCCTCGGTTCTTTCTATTGAATTATTTAGAAAGTCAGTTATTTCAGTCCAGATAAATTACCCTTAAGAAGATCACACATTCTGAACAGTCTGAACTTGGGCCTTGTATGATTGAATGTAGTAATTTACTCTCCAGTCATGATTGCTTTTCTACGCCTGCCTTTTAACTGGGTATTCAGATTAAGTCTGCTTAGGAATTCGGGAGCAATAGAATGGCCAACTGTGATTCCACTAATCTTTCAGTAACCGGGCGGGAAAGTTTGAAAATTTTTATGCCTGTCAAATTATTAGGGGAATAAATTTAAAAGAGGGAACTGCAGCTTGCAGCACAGCCATCTTGAAACTGGAAAGTTCACCCTTTCCAGGAGAACAACTCCAGGAACCCAGGAAATTCCCTGAAAGGCACTGAGCTGCTACTCTACCCCTTCCTTCTGGAGCGGGGAGAGGCTGCCATGCAGGGAAGGAGGCACACTGAGAAGGGACCAGTCCTGTGCTGTGAGGTCAGACTAAAGTGGTACCCACTAACAGCGGATACACGCAGTCTCAGGGCTGGAGCTCCTCACATCTGAGACCTCACAATCGTGAGTGGCCATCACTAAGACTGACCTCTTGTAAATGTTTCTAACAGCAAGTCACAGTGAACTGCACAGCGGAAGTCCTTTACCCGCAGACGGGACAAGGGGCTGCACCGGAGGTCAACTTCACGTTTGACGGAGAAATCGGCAAGAACCCGGATGAAGAAGATAACACATTTTATCAAAGGCTTATGTCTATGAAGGAACCACTACAAGCACAAAACATTCCAGGTACACACATAAAGCACGGGAAACAGGCTAGAGATGTACTATTACCCATGCTCAAAACTGCTTGATGCTAACTATGTCTAACTATGTTAAAACTGGCTTTTACAAAAATACTTATTTCTAATCTAATCCAGCAATAAAAAAAGAGGATCTGGAATTTTACACATGCATGGCTTAATTTAGTTTTCACTCATATCAGAACGGTAGGAAGCATGACGAAGAATTTTGATTTTTAATCTAAAAAGGTTAATATTACATTCACCATGTAAATGTTTCCTCTACCAGACAGTTCTGGAAATGTGTCTCCACAAATGAAGCCAGTTCGCCACTTAGCCTGGGTCGCCTGTGGTTACATTATGTGGCAGAATTCGACTGAAGACACATGGTATAAGATGGCACAGATCCAAACGGTCAAGCAAGTGGTACGTCGTCGCTCCCCCCACAGTATACTGTTACCATACAGATGGCATTTTTGCAAGTTTCTGTTCGTAATCTTTCATGCAAGGCAATCACTTAGTTACTTATGATGTGTTATTCAGACTCTTTTCCAGAGCGAAAGGGTTGTAGCGTTATTAGCATACACTGGACAAAGACTCAGGTATATACTACTCACTTTTAATGAATCGCCCTGTCGTTAATTTGCTTTACAAAGGTCCTGGGAGCCACTTTTTGTAGCATTCACAAATAAAGGGGCACTTCGACACTGTGAAGTTGTGAGTTAAAATTTGGCCATTTCAGGGGGAGGTATTCAGTTCGATACAGAATATCTCCTTTTTTAGCAACCTAAATAGTGTATCTGAACTGCTATTGTCAGCTAACTGCATTTTTCTCTGCTGAATGGTGGTTCCCTGGCTACCATGGTCTTGGAAGCTTGGGGTAGTTCTGGCTGTTCCTTGGCTCGTGCATGATCCTTTTCTGTAATCCCTCCAGTCAGAATGATGACCTCACACCGTATTATGAGCCTTGTGCTTTCTAGAGCCTAATACCATGGTCTGTAGAAATGCATCTTCCTAGACCAGAAATACGTACGAATAAATCCTTCAGTTTTCCTTTTGGAGGTTAACTGGGGATATTCAGCTAGCAGCTGATGGGGAACAAGAGAGTAGTAAGAACAGAAAGACAGTACCCATGAACAGAGAAAGGGGCTTCCTGCTGCCTCTTTCGGTGTGCAGGCAACAGACTGCGGAAGCGCCCGAGCGCTGTGTCCCAGGGACCCTGGTAGCCGCTCCTGAGACACCATACCCGCCGGCAGGACAGCAGCTACAGCACTAGTGAGAGGCCAGAACTACCCAATACTGCAGCGTTCTGAGAACTAGTGAGATGCTTTCCTCATGCGTCTCACACGCACCAACCTTGGTTACAACATTCCTTTGAAGCTACTGAGCCATCAACCCAGGCCAGGCACAGGCTGCAAAACCACAGTCATGAATTCTCGAGATACGACCAGAAACATACAAGCCTTTTTTTAATGTGTATTAAAAAAAAAAAAGCAACCTGTGAGCCTTCACTAAATTATGATTTTAAAAGTGAGAGTGGTGATTCTAGGTCTATATCTGTAAGCCCTGTTAGCTGAGCCCCACAAGCAGCTTTGTGCTGCCCATTGGAGTCTCAGTGCGGCCAGGACAAGTTTAAGAAGCCTCAGTCTCACGGGGACAGCACACTTCTGATGATGGTTTTAGCCCACAGACGCAGGAGTTCTGTGTAGCTCACTGCACACATGCTTTTTATTCCTGAAGTAACAGAGTACAGAAGGAAGCGTCACTGTCAAAGCAGATACTCAGGCATCACCTTAATCGGTGTCAATTTTCTAAAGAACGCGGTGTGAGTGGCTCCCTTCCGCGGCATTCCCACTGCCATCGCTGACACTAAGGGTCCCGAGATAAGAAGCTACGGACAGTAATGCTCTAAATAGCTGCCAAGGGTTAGCAAGTGAAGAAACAGAATCACAAGTTTTAGAGTAATAAATACAAAATTGTGATTTTTTAAAATGTGGTTTGAAAGTATTTGTTTATTCATATAAGAAAATAGTTTTCTGTCAGGCTAAGTTAAAGGCAGTTATAAACTTCAAATTCTTTTTCATAAATCAATATTAACTCAGAAATATTAAGGTGTCATTTTGCCACAATATTATTTAAATACTTTTTTTTTTGATCATAGCCAAGAAACGATGACTTCATTGAATTAGACTATACCATTCTACTCCATGACATTGCGTCACAGGTAATCTATGACTCATTTTTATTTGATGCAACTCTGAAAATCAGTAATTCTTCTGTCACTACACAGTCACCTGTGCCTTTGGACTCCACGTAAAAGTTAATGAAAATTCAAGCAGGCACCAGGCTCTGCAGCAACTGGCCTTGCTGCTGCTGTTCCTGATGAAGGCACTGTAAATACTGCCAACGAAATAGAAACTCAGTTATGTTTTCTAATTTCCTACAGCATCAACTGTCTTTACTTGCAGGAGATCATTCCCTGGCAGATGCAAGTGTTGTGGCACCCACAGTACGGTACCAAAGTCAAGCACAACAGCCGCCTCCCGAAGGACCTGGGAGCGGAGTAAACAAAGCCCCTGTCACCCGGATGAGATGGAAACGCTCCTAATGATGCGGATGGCTGTCCTCACTGGCACCTGGCCTAACACCAAATGAATCCCACGGAGTCTCTCTGTTTGTCTTAGCTACAGCACCGAGCTGCATAGATTCCATAATGCAGAGTATTACTACGTAAAAATGTCTCTCCAAGAGTAACAATACTGTGTGTATCCCCGAATAAAAAGTCCGCTTCAGTCTCGTGGAGTCTGACTGCATTGTATACTTACGGCACAGGGGCAGTGATGGTCTCTCTAAAGGCCACTTTGGGCTTTCCTATGATGCAAGGACAGCCATATTCTCTCTCCATTCTCTAAAATGAAGGGGGGGTAACATTGTTTATATTTTATAAAGTAAAAGGAAGAAAAAAATACCTTAGCATCATTCAATGAAATACAGAAAAAAAAACTGAACAGTAAATTTTAAATCATTTTAGTAACTGGCAAGAATCAGATGTGATAGTCTAATAACACAAACTACCTTTACATATCTTACAAAAGTAAATTCCAGTTTTGACTCATTAATTTATACTCAGTACCATTTGCTCTATCTGTCACAATCTACTGTTGATTCATATTAGCACATTCACTGGAAAAACAAATCTTTTATCAAGATATGCTATCCTAACTGCAAAGACATAATCAGGCCACAATCTCTACTAGTTTTAGCTTTTGTTTACATTTTGACCATATTTACACTTGATCTAGGAAGAGGTTTTGTTTTGTTTTGTTTTGTTTTAAATCTGTATGGAACTGGCCTCCATGTTTTGTTTTGTTTTCTGTTTTTTTGAGACAGGGTTTCTCTGTGTAACAGCCCTGGCTGTCCTGGAACTCATAGAGATCTGCCTGCCTCTGCCTCCCAAGTGCTGGGATTAAAGGTGTGTGCCACCACCATTCTCCATGCTTTAATTAGTTGATTATTTGTGAGACAGGGCCTCTGTAACTCTGGCTGGAACTCGCTCTGTAGCTCAGGCTGGCACTAACTCAGAGAGAGCCCGGCTTCTCTCTCCGAGTTCTGGGATTAAGGCTACCTTGCCCTGGCCTTCATGTTTATGTATGCATTTGTGTCTGTATGCATGCGCCACATATGTAGGGGTGCCGGGGGAGGGGACCGGATCCACTGGAGCTGGAGCTGAAGGAGGTTGTGGGCCACTCGGCGTGGGTACTAGCAACCGGGTTCAAGTCCTCTGGAAGCACAGCAAGTGGCTTTAACCACTGAGCCACCTCTCCAGTCCTCATGAAGAGAAGTCCTGGGAGGTAGGCACACAAACAGGCTGTCTCCCCCAAGGCTTACTTTATTTGACCTGATAATCGACCGGGACTGGATGGGGGTCTTAGTACAAATCCCAGAGCCTAGATTCTAGGAATCTGATGTTTAACAAAGACTTGGATAAAAAATAACTCATTTTTAACACAAGAAGGGAAGCCCTGCAGTGTGCCATGCATGGATACAAATCAGAGCTAAGCCTGGAGAAGCAATATCAACTTAGTCAGTACTTTGAGCAGCAGTTGGCTTTTTATCTTGATGACCTTGTGTTCCTATTAATCTTCCTGCCTCACCTTGCAGAGGTGTGATTACGGGATGAAGGCCACTCTGCCAGGCCAAGGCACACTTAGTAACAAAGGCAACTGTACAGGGCTGCTCTGTGAACCATACCTGAGCATAAATTTCCAGGTGTAATTCTCCCATTCCAGACACAATTGTCTCCTTGCTCTCAGCGTCAAAACGGACTTTAAATGTGGGGTCCTCCCGAGTAAACCTGCCAATGCCTTTTGAAAACTTTTCCAGATCATTCTTTAAAAGAGGAAGAAAAATCATTATAGGATTAAGCATGAAAAACAACTGTATTTTTTTGAGATGTTACTGAATAAATCCATATACACTGGTAACTAAGAAATAAAGAGGGTCTATATCTAGTTCCACCCCGATCTTTTCGGAAATAACCATGGCTACCACAGCCATGGGCCCAGCCGGCTGAACAGGATTTTCTCTTCATACCAAAACAGAAAACAAGGGTCTAAGATTTAGCTTTCACTTCCCATCACACTGCCAAACTACCCATATTGTGGGAACTGCCCGAGTGAAGGAAGCGCTGGACACTTTTGCAGATCCACTATGTAATATAGTCAGCATGTTTACCAAGAGTCTTCCGTAGAATCAAGAGCATTAACTACTCTGTGAAGAAGACGGACAGCAAAGGAAATAGCACATCATGATGTTTCTGTTTCCAAACAACCTCCTCGGTCATCTGATATACCTTTGTACTTTGATGTAATTCCACACAGTGAGCAGGCTAAGATGCCCACTTCCCTCAACTCCAGATAGGGTGCATCCTATGAGCTGTCAGAGTAGGCTCAACACAACCCAAGGATCTTTCCAGGTGGAAAAAAGCAGACAAGAGAGGAAAGCCATGCTGGTGAGAGAAAGGTAGGAGAGAAGCAGGAACAAGACCCAACCCACTGCTACCAGCACTAAGCATGGTGGGGGAGGGAAGGGAACACTGGAGAGATGGCTCAGGGGTAAGAGAACTTCCTGCCCTTCTAGAGGGCCAGAGTTCAGTTTCCAGCACCCATGTCAGGGGCTCACAACCTCCTATAACTCGAGCTTCAGTGGATCGAATGCCATTGACCTCTGCACGCATACATCCACACATAAATACATTCGATCTAAAGATGATAGAGAGGGCCATAAGTCAGAAACAGTGCGCAGCCTCCAGAAGCTCAGAGCGACCCTGAGGAGGAAAGGAAATGGAAACCCCAATCATACACCCATAGGAGCCCAATTCTCCCCACAAACGTGAGCAAGCAAGGAAAAAGGTTTCGCCTCGAGCCTCCAGAAAAGAATACAACCCTGAGCTGGAGCTCAGAGGGGAGAGCATTTGCTTCACAGTTGGAGTTGAGTCCGAATCCCCAGAACCCATGTACCACTGGATCTGGTAGCACAATCCCGGAACTCCCGTGGCCAGATGAGTGGCAGAGACACGAGACTCACAGGACAGAAGGTAGCCGGTCAGCTAGCCTGGTACACACAAGGGTGAACAACAGAGAGACTCTCAAAATACATGAGAGGTGATGGTCAACACACGGGATTGTCCCTTAACCTTCACGAACACATGCCTGCACTCACACTGAAAAGGATGGACACACACACACACACACACACACACAAACACATCCCTGCTTGATTAATTTAAACTGTAATGAATCATCAGTTTCTAACCTACAGAACTATAAAATAAACACACTGATGTAGTTTTACATTACTAAGTTTTTGGAAATTTCTAATGGTAGCAATAAAAAATGAATATGTCCTGTATGAGACAGGTACATTAGCATGCTGTATTAGCAGCACCATTGATCACACACTTGGAGCTGTAACACCTACTGTGTGTGTTATCTCAGATTTAACTGCGATGTAAGTTTGTAGACAAAGGGTAGGTAACTTGCTCGAGGTCACACAGGTAACACAAACACATACGAGGGCATCAGTTCCTACGTTGGTGCACTCAGTTAACTCTTGACTTTTCTCGCATTAGCCACGCTCCCATTCAGCAGAAGCTCAGTCCTGCTCACTATCAGAACTCAAGGCCTTACAAGTGAGAGGGACTTGGGACTTCATCGGGTGACTGGAACAAATTTACATGTGAGAAGACACTTTTAAATGTTTTCACCCAATTTCCTTCTGTTATTGTGAGTTATTAACCATGAGCTCTGAGTGTGGGACTGGAAGGTACAAAGACACCTTTCATTCCTAACCTCGCTAGCAGCCTTAATAAAGAACTTGAAACAGAGCTCTCTTTCAGAGATGTAAGATGCAAGGGTTAGGCCCCACGAGATCTGAGAAGATGGACTCTTTCCATGACTTTCACTCCCTTGACTTTCTCCTTTCTATATCGGAAACAATCTCAAAACAGTTTCTCAAAAGAGACAAAATAGCAGACATTAATAATATATCCTACAGGACACATTTACCCAAATATGCAAATGACAGTTCTCAGATGACAAGAAGTCTTAAAATGTTCACTCAATACATGAATGAATTCACTCCAACAAGGCAACTTAGGAACTAAGCAACTACGGCTCAGGATTGAACTGATTCCAATAGAGAACAATATAAACACAAGGCATTCAAGCAATTTTGGCTTTGTAGAAGGCCAAATGATATCAAACCTAATATATAACTGTAAAAACAGCACATAAACTTAAAACCCTTAATATGAAATTATAGGTGGTTTCAAAAAGTTGCCTTATTAGCTTGTGATATTATAATCAGACATCTCAAAACAAAACAGAATCCAGAAATATATGACAGCTCACTAAGTAGTGACAATGAACTGTCATTGCAACTTGAGACAAACACCGTCTTCTCCCCGTTTCAGTAACCTAAGACTCCAAGAAGGTAGACTTGCCATTCAGAAGTCAATGCCATGGTTAAGAGTTAAAAAGTCTCTCCACCATTAAATGCCATCTAGTCCTGCAACTGCACTGAGGACTTATCAGGACGGATGAGTACATGAAAAGGCCGATCTCGGTACCAACAGAAGGAGCAGAAACCAGCTCAGTGCTGCTTCCCACAAGACGCCATGTCAACAAGGAGGATGACGAGAGAAAGCTCACGTTCAGAGCGATCTGTCAGAGCGCAAACGCTACCTTGTTAGAAGGCTTCATTGCTACTGAGATGACAGGCTCAGGAACGTGAATTGATTCCTAAAAAAAAAAAAACATTTTTAAGAAAACATAAAATAATTAAAAGATAGTTTTCTGACTCAGCAATTGGCTACTCCATTAACAGAACAAAGGGCAGTCACTAGCCAACACCTCAGACTGGACATTACGGGTCTTAGTCTGTTTTGTATTAAATCAAGTAAGAATGTAACATTAATAAACAAAGATGTATACTTACAAGAACTCCTACCTCCCCAAATAATTTATGGACTTTATTGACCTAACTATTGAAGATAATCACGAAGTTGAATAAATGGTGGCATATGGAGTTCTTTTCTTTCTGTGGGCGTATATATTCTTATTGCCTCTTCTACATTCCTGTTGTAGTCTTCTGATAAGTTATGGTTTATTCATAATGAGGGAAACAGAAGGGGCTTCAGTCTTTATATACACGTCTTATTTGATCAACGACAGGTCGAAGAAGGAGAAACTATTCTCATTTCATAAGTCAAGTTACTAAAGACTAGAAAGGAACAGG